TTTAAAAAAAAAAAAAAAAAAAAAAAGTATAAAAATAGGGCCGGCCCGTGGCTCACTCGGGAGAGCGTGGTGCTGACAACACCAAGTCAAGGGTTAAGATCCCTTACCAGTCATCTTTTAATTTAAAAAAAAATAAAAGATAAAAAATATAAAAATAACAGAGTGAACCTTATGGAGAGCAGGGTGGTTTTGGTTAAAGAAATCTCCCGACCAACTTCTACCTTCCCCAAAACAAGTCCTGTGAGGGAAGAAGCCACTTTTCACATAACTGCGCAGCTACAGACATGCTCCTCTGCAGAGGGTGCATTTCCCGGTGCAGAATGAAAAGCGGCCCTTCCCTGTCCCGACGTAGGAAAGCTGGATCCAGACCAGGAAGAGGCAGATGGAGGCCAGGCCCAGGGCGAGGGGTGTTGCCAGCTTTGTTTTACTGCCCACCCCCACCCTCATGGCCCACATACAAGTTAAGAAGAAGGGGAACTAAATCTTTAGCCAGTATCGTTATTATGGGAAGTAGTGTGGCAGAGCAGAAGAAGCCCAGGATCTGGAACCAGCCAAGCCTGTGTTCAAATGTTGACTCCAGCACTCACTTCCTGCCAGGCACTGTTTTAACCACTTTACATTATGTTCCATGTCGTCTTCACAAGAACTCTGTGAGGTAGGCACGATTAGCATGATATTCTCCCATTCTACAGATAGGGAAACTGAGGTGAAGAGTGGTTAAGTAGTTTGCCCAAGATCACACAGAACCTGGTGTTGAACCCAGGAAGATCAGGGTCCAGAATCCTCACCTTAGCCAAGATACTATACCTGGCACACAATGGGCATTCGAGGATGCTAGCAGTTGGGGTTATGAGTGACAGCATTCACCTTCCCCTGCCCCCAGCCAGGCCTCTGCCTCACCCCCTTTCCTTCCTCCAGGCTCCTGTCCTGGCAGATGAGGGTTCCCAATGACCTGTCCACCGTCTCTCCTGCCCCGGTCCAGGGTTGGTCTGACCAGGCCTGGGTTAGCTCTCTCAGCCATGCCTGTCTCTCTGCAGGACCATGGCTACCTTGTACCGTGACCCTGACTGGTCCTCCAAAAACCTGGAGCCTGCTATCTTCGAAGCCCGGAGACACGTGGTCAAGGACAAGCTGCCCTCCCTGTTCCCAGAGCAGCTCCGCAAATTCCAGGAGGAACTCCGGCAGCGCAGCCAGGAAGGCTACAAGGTCACCTTCACAGACTTCTGGGGCCTGATGATTGAGGCCTGTCTGGGGGATGAGGTAGGCTTCTCCTGGGCCCTATCCAGCTCTCTGTCTTCCTCAGCGGGTCTGGACTTCTGCTGCAGCAGAGGGAGTCAGGTTAGACCTGCAGGTGTATCCTTGGGCTGTAAGAATAGGAGGTGCTGGAATGCACGATGGAGGAAGAGAGTGGGATTGTCCTCCCACATGCTCTTTAGAGGATGACTGAGACCCTCGTGTTGGGAGCAACTCTGCATAGAGGCAGCATGTCCTTTTGAGAGCCAGGCCAAGACACCTGTGAGAAAAAAACGGGAGGAAGCGGGGAAGGCTGGAGAGCCGTGCGACCGTGATGCGAGTCTGACCCTAAGTGGAGGAGAGAGGAAGAGCAGCATGTCCTTTTGAGAGCCAGGCCAAGACACCTGTGAGAAAAAAACGGGAGGAAGCGGAGAAGGCTGGAGAGCCGTGCGACCGTGATGCGAGTCTGACCCTAAGTGGAGGAGAGAGGAAGAGAGGCCAGTTGGAAGCATCCTGGACTGCTGTGTGGCCCAGGAAGGCTCAGCAGGGCCCTTGGAGGGTCCTTTAGCCAAAGCTGGTGTCAGAGGAGTCCTGTGTCCCCCAGATGGGTCTGCCATGCTGACTCATGGGAAGTGACACAAACTCAGCCATTGATTTCAGAGCACAGCAGCTGGGGCCCTTAGCCAGTGCTGCTCTGTGTAGTTGGAGGTCTTCTGGGCCCGTTCTTGTGGCCTCCACACAGGGAATGAGCCCAGCGGGGTTTCCTCCTGCTCTGAGATCCAATGATCCAAGCAATATGAGCCCAAGAAGAGAACCAGCCTGTGCTGGGACGCAGCTGCTGTGAGAGCTGTATAGGACACAGTGGAGCAGAGGGATCCCCATGGGATGCTGTGATCTCGACGTCAGGGTGAGCTCTGCTAATGCCTGGCCCTTCAGGCTGCACAGGCCCAGAGAGGAACCAACTTTGGCCATTGCTTGGCCCCGAAGCAGAACTCCCCACCTAACGTCTATCCAGGCTAGTGCCTCTCCGCCCCACTCTCAAAAGTGTCTGGGGAGTTCTGAATTTAAGTCACAGCTTGCCAGAAGGAGGAGGGGCATCAAGTTATTTTCTAGTAGGTCCCCTCTTCCAGAACACCAGACAATTTTAGCACCTGACCCTCGCCTTCAATATTCACTCATTCCTTCATTCATTCTTTCAACTAAATTAATTAGGTAACTCCTACATTCCAGGAACTGTGCCGGCCAGTGGGGATTCAGAAAGGAGTTGGACATGGCTTCCAACTGGAGCCCTCATGAGTTTTGATGGATCCACCCTCCCTGTCCCTTTGAGAATCCACCATCTAACCTGTCCTCGTGGTGAAGCAGGGCAGGCAGAGGCTGAGGGCCTTGGCTTTCGGATTCAGGCAGGACGGGGTTGAAATTTTGGCCCTGCTCTGTACTATTTCTTAAAGGAGATTATTACATCAATAGAGGCAGTTAATATTCTTAACAATATTTTAACAGTACTCTTAACAATAGTCAGCGCCCGTGTGATGAGGAGGAAAGCACCAAGGCTTTCTACATCAGGAGTCTGAGCATTTGGGGGGTTTGCAGTGGGGAGGAGCCAGGGTTCTCAGGAAAGAAAGGCTAGGGTTGATGTTGGGAGGCCTCTGCTCTCCCGCTCTGGCCAAGGCAGGAGCCCCTTCCCTCGGGCTCCCTTGACAATGAGTGTGGACTGGGCTCTTCCCTGAGTCTAACTCTCTCCATTTCCGGAACAGTCAGCTCCGTGGTGCCCAGATCTCTAACTGGACAGGCACCCTGTTTGCCTTCAAAGAAGGCCCAAGAGTCATTGGGCCCACATGCATTTGCCATTCCACATGTGTTCCACAGCCTTTGCACACTTGGGTAACCAGGGAGGTCACCCAGCAGTCCGCTGCCTGGACTGGGGTCAGGGCCTGGGCCTCTGTAACCACTCTGCCTGGTCAGCACTGGCTGACTCATTTTGGGAGGTGGCCTGTGGCCCAGGCTGATCCGCAGGGCTCCCCACTCTGATTACACCGCACAACATTCTTGGGACTTAGAGGGTCCTCAGCCACCATCTAGTGCTGGAGTTTCCAGGCCAAAGAAACTCTATTTTCCTCTCAAACAAATTTCATGAGAGAGCCCAACATGCCAAGCTGAAAAAAAAATGAAGCTGCTCCAGTTCGAGCAGGGAGGTAGATAGTGGGGAAGAAGAGGGCAGTGGTGACCTCTGCACCCCCACCTCTTCATCCTCTGGCCCCTGAGGTTTGAGAAGGACCATGGGATTCTGAGGGACAGCCTTTAAACTACAGATCCAGTCCCACCCCATCTATGTGTCTGGGGTGGTAGGTAGCCCGGGGGGAGGTACACTACATGCTACAGGTGCATTTTAAAAGCAGGTTTGACTGGTGTTGGCTGGGGCCTACACAGCAGCCTGGTGGGCTCAGGAGCCAGGAAACGCTGCTGGAGTCCAGATTGCCCTCTTATTCTGCGCTGTGGGCCCCCACCCCTTCCGCCGCTTGTCTGCTTCTCTTCAGCCATTTCGTTTCCCCACAGAGAAATGAATGCAAACTGTCAGAGCAGCGTGCTGCTTTGTGCCGGGGCCAGAACCCCCTGCCCATCTACCTCACCATCAATGTCAAGGATGATGTAAGCAACAAGGATTTCAGAGGTAACACTGGTGGCTAGTGATTTACGAGGGGGTCCCTTCTTGGTGGGCAAAGGCACCCAGCACCTCCAGGTCTCCCCACCTACCCACCTTTGCCAACCTCCACATCAAAAGATTGTGCCCAGAGCTGAAGAAATCAACTTTGCTACCCCAATCTGCCTTGTCCCATGGGTGAGGCCAGCGGGACAATAAAGGTTGGGGAAGATAAAGGTTGTAAAGGAAAGGAGTCCTGGATATATCTTAACCTGCCCAGAGGGAGGGACTCTAGAGACCTGCCCTGCTTCGGGTCAGTTTTAGTCCCCTTTTATCCTGCTTTGAGGAACAAATGAGCCGTGAAATTGCAAAGCAGAGGCTTGCCTGGCCAGCAGAAGCGGGCAGCGGGCGCCCCCATGCGCCCTGTGGGGGAACTGCGGCCTCCCTGTCCTGGGCTCCCCAGGCACAGGAGCCAGTGTGGGGCAGGCGAGCAGGGAGGGCCCGGCAGTGGTGGCATGGCTCCCTGGCCTGAGACTGACTCCCTGCCCTACTGCTCCATGTGCATTCCCCAGGCACAGGAGCCAGTGTGGGGCAGGCGAGCAGGGAGGGCTCGGCAGTGGTGGCATGGCTCCCTGGCCTGAGACTGACTCCCTGCCCTACTGCTCCATGTGCAGAGTGGTGTGAGTTCTCTCCCTATGAGGTGGGCCTGCAGAAGTACGGGGCCTTCATTCCCAGCGAGCTCTTTGGCTCCGAGTTCTTCATGGGGCGGCTGATGAAGAGGATCCCTGAGTCTCCGATCTGCTACATGCTAGGTGACTCCTGGGGGACTCCCCTAGGCACCCTGGCCCATGCTGGGCTGCCCTGCCTTTGAATTAGAGGAATGACAGGAAGGATCTTGTGCCAGGTGCTGGGCTGACTTGGGGTAGCACTTGAGCATGAGACCCTCCTGGCACTTGCCAGCATCGCATCCCAGGAGAGACTCCCAAACCTACCCCCACATGGGCCTCCGGGACTGCCCTGATCTCCCTGAAGCCCTTTGGGCCCAGAAGGACTTGGCAAGGGCTCCCACATCACTGAGAACCAGAGGGGACTCTCCCTTCATTCTGGTCTCCAGGGGTCTTCCTGGGGTCCGCTCAGAACCAGAATGGGGATGGCAGCTGAGGTGGAAATTTCTGTAACTTCCACTACCTCCCCCTCTGGCTCCAGGCAGTAACGTGCCACTTCCAGGGGACGACTCAGCCTGTGGGATCCAAGGGGCCGGAGAGGACCACAGGGTAAAGGGCAGAACCACTGGGGAAGCTCGGCCCAGCCTCCTACCCTAAGCTCCTGAGTACTTCGGAAGCCAGGTCCACTGAGTGCAGGAGCCTGACTGCTCCGTCCGTTCTCACAGCTCTTCCCTTCAGAGTCTCGATACATCCATTAAAGGGCATCCTCAAAAAGCAGACCCATCTTTTCAGCTTCAGCAATAGTATTCTCTTATTTAAACTAGTTGTCTGCATTCCTTCCATCTACCCCAATCCAACCCATCCCAGAAGGTCCAACTAAAGCCTCATCTCTTCTGTGAAGCCCACCCAGAAGCCCCCAGTCCACAGTGGCCTCTCCTTCTCCTGACCACCTAAGCTATTGGACATATGGTTCAGAAAGCTGTAGTTAAAACACTTGGGCTCAAACTCTGGTTCTTCATTTATTAGCTGTGTGAAGTTGGCTAAATTACCTAAACTCTCTGAGCCTCAATTTTCTCATCTGTAAATTGGGCTTGAGAGTAAACCTACTTTGTAGAGGCTCCCAAAGGGTCAATGCATGTGAAAGATTTAATATGAGTATCATTAATGTGTTACATTTTAAAATCATAATAAGAGATAGCATTACATTTATTGACTCATAAATGTACATTACATTTATTGGCTCACCATGTGCCAGGCACTGTCCTAGACATTTTGGGTGTATTAACTGATGTAAGGGGTGACATCTGTACTTGAACTCAAAGCTTGCACCTGTCAGTGTTAAGTCTCTGCTGGGACAGTGCCTTACACACCTTCATACCTTCACCCCGCACTGAGGGGAGGGAGAAGAAGTGCTAAGGGCCGACACCATCAGTCGCTGTGTTAAGCTGCATCATGGGGAGAGAGAAATCAATGTCTGTCCCACCCCCTGAGCAGGCTGGCTTGGAGGTGGAATCCAGGCCAGGGCAGAACCAGTTAGGGTTTGGGTGGGCCCAGGGGATCCTGGGTGGAGTTGCTCACTGCTGGCCTGGGCTCCTTAGGTTTGTGGAGCAGCATCTTCTCCCTGAACCTACTCGATGCCTGGAATCTATCCCACACCTCGGAGGAGTTCTTCCATAGGTGGACTAGGAAGAGAGTGCATGACATCGGTGGGTGACCCACTGGCTTCCCCTCATGGTTGGGTGATGGTGGGGGGCGGTGGGCATGGATCATGAACTGAGCACCAGCCCACCTGCCATGTGTTTCCATATCATCCCTGTGGCCCACAGATGGGAAGGCAGGTGGGGCTAGAGCATTTTCACTGCCTGGAGGGGAGGGTGATTATAGGTGACACCTGTGCCAAGGCCTGACAACAAGCCTCCCAGCACCCAGGAGAACTGACAAGGGTAGAGATCTTGAGCACGGTTGAAGGCCACTCTTCTAGACTCCCTGTCCTCTCCGGGACCCTTCTTACCTGTTGCCTCCCTATTCCTCTCCACCTCCCTGCCCCTGTTCCACATTTCTCACCTGGGTCCTCCTGGCTCTGGTGCCAGGGCTTTGAGACGAGCACGGTTGAAGGCCACTCTTCTAGACTCCCTGTCCTCTCCGGGACCCTTCTTACCTGTTGCCTCCCTATTCCTCTCCACCACCCTGCCCCTGTTCCACATTTCTCACCTGGGTCCTCCTGGCTCTGGTGCCAGGGCTTTGAGAGCTACGCAAAGAAGGTATGAGCTGCACTTACACTGCCCACCACCCGGGCACCAGGCAACCATGAAAGGCTTCACCTGGGCACTCCGGAGACCCCAACTCTTGTGACCTGCCCTCCATCCCCCTCCCTGCAGATGAAGAGCCGATCCTACCTGAAATCCCCAAATGTGATGCCAACACCCTGGAGACCACAGTAGTGATCCCGGGGTCATGGCTGTCCAATACTTTCCGAGAAATCCTCACCTATCGACACTTCGTATCTGAGTTCCACAACTTCCTTTCTGGGCTACAGCTGCACACTGGCTACCTGCAGAACGGCCAGTTTTCCATGTGGAAAGGTAACCCTACCTGGCCTCTCCTTGAGGCCCCCTCCATTTGGAGGAGGAGGAAGTGGATGTGGAGGCTGCCATGGAGAAAGAATGAGAAAACTCCTCTGACTACGTTCACTGGGTCGGGTGGCAGTCTCTCCCCCCTGGTGTATTCCACATTTGGGGATGTCATCTTGAACGGTGTGTGGGTAGCAGCAGGGGACAGTGTAGGTTCTTAAGTCACTTCATCTGCACAACAACTCCATACAGAATCAGCACAACAATCCCAGCAGGTAGAAGTTGGCCCCATTTTACAGATGGGGAAATACGGCCCTTACTTTCTGCAGTTGTGCTCCAGGGGCACCTTTTAATGTGAATAGTGTCCCCTCAGAACTGGGCAGGGATGGCTCAGCTCAAGGACCCCAAGTGGTAAGTGGCAGAGCCAGGTCCTAAGCTGTGATCTTGCAGCTTCAGCTTCAACTCAGCACCTCCCTCCTACCCTCACCCCCCAACCCCCGCCCCTGCCGCACTAAGGCTCTGAGGTTGACTTTCTATCTTCTTCGTAGCTTATTTGGCTGCAGCCCATTAATGGCTACTTGAGCCTGGCCTATAAGGAGCAGGGCCCAGGATTTACACTATTGATAGGAGGTCATAAGCCCCCGACACCCCACCAGCTCTGTGGCTGATGTCGTAGTGGGTTTTCTGTGCATATCCCATAAAAGACTTGCTAAAACCCCAAGATAATGCTGTTCCTTATCAGCTCTCCTAGAGGGACGCTGGGACTCAATGGACGTCCTGTTCAGAGGGAGGGGGCTGGAGGCCCAGGCTGAGGTGAAGGAAGTTCCAGGCAGAGCGCCTGGTCCCCGCCAGGTGCCTTCGGCCCATTGGCTGAGATCAGGGCACCGTGCGTGTTGGTAACTGGAAGACTTGGCTTTCAGACACAGTGCTTGATGGTTTCCCAAACCAGCTGACAGAGTCTGCCAACCACTTGTGCCTGCTGGACACCGCGTTCTTCGTCAACTCCTGCTACCCGCCCCTCCTCAGGCCGGAGAGAAAAGCCGACCTCATCATCCACCTCAATTACTGTGCTGGGTCCCAGACAAAGGCAAGTGCAGCAAAGCAGGGCTCCACCCTGAGTACGGGGCTGTGGCCTCTTCTGAGATGGCTCTGAGTCAGGGCTGTGGCACTCAGCAGCCTCTCCAGCTGTGAACTCGGAGAACACGTGCTCCTGACAGGCTCCAAGACAGTGTCACAGGGACTCAAGCAGCAGTCATGATATGAGGTTAAACATCCAAACCCCGGGCGGCAGCCAGCTGCCTCCCACATGCAATGGCACCCTAGCAAATTCAAATTTTATTCTTACCTTTGAGCATTTGCCATACTTGGCTATACTTCAGCTACAAAAAAAAAAAAAAAGGAGTTTAAAAAATATCAAGGGCTGGTCAGTTAGCTCAGTTGGTTAGAGCACAGCTTTGTAACACCAAGGTCAAGGGTTAGGATCCCCATATTGGCCAAAAAAAAAAAAAAAAAAAACCCTAATAGAGCTCATTTCATTCTAAAGTGTTGCACCACTTCAAGAGCTTGTAGTGTCCTGTTTTCAAAATAATCACACTGTCTCCATCCCCAGGGAATATGACCCTCCATGAAATTGCACTGAAGAATCAGGACCAGAAGTTTGCTTTTGAAAAGTTCTGGCCCTTTAAGGGGAAGAAACTGGTTTTGGTCTATTTAATACAGTGCTATCCTGCAGCCAGGGAAAGAGAATTATAGACAGACGATGAGGACGATGAGGATGACAGTAACAATAATGACCTAAGTTTGTAAATGAATAACAATGTACTTTCCTACACATGATCTCATTTGGTCCTCAAACGGGCTCTTTGAGAAAGACATGACAGCTGCTATTATCCCCATGTTATAGATGAGGAAACTGAGGCAGAGAAGAGGTAAGTGGCTTGATTAAGCTCACACAGCTAGTGGAACCAGGGGCAGAACTTAGGGGATTCCAACACTCTAAGTCCAGGCTCTTTTTGTTACATCACATTTTTAGACACCCTTTCAGAGTCCTTTCTAGCCCCGCTATTGGTTCCAACGTCCATGCATGTCCTACAGAAGCCTGGCCAGCCAAGGCTGTCCGTGGCCCAGTTCCAATCACCGTCCCAGGCTGCCACCCACATCTACGCAGATCTGTGTTCGGGTGAAACGTCATGGAAAGGCCTTCCGTCCATTTTACTTGGGGAAGGATTTGCAGCTGAATATGCACCAACCTACTGTCTCGGGCCTTTTGTCCTGACCTAGCTTTATCCTGAAAATAGCACAGTGCTGGCCAGTGAGCTCATTTGGTTAAAGCATGGTGCTGGTAACACCAAGGTGAAGGGTTCAGATCCCCTTTCTGGCCACCTGCCAAAACAAAACCAAAAAAAGATAAAAATAGCACAAATTGGCAAAGCAGTTGGGGACCTAAGTTATTAGCTGGAGAAATCAGGAAGCTGGATAAAAGAACTATATTTTTTATTCACCCGTACTCCTCCTAATAGTCAAACACGTCCTCCTGTCATATTCCAGCCCTTGAGACAAACCTGTGAGTACTGCACTGTGCAGAACATTCCTTTCCCCAAATATGACATACAAGATGATGATGAACATCTGAAGGAATGTTACCTGATGGAGAACCCCCAGGAACCCGATGCCCCCATCGTGATCTTCTTCCCACTCATCAATGACACCTTCCAAAAGTACAAGGCACCAGGTAAGCTGCCTCTGCACCCAGTTCCCAGCACCCGCTGTCTTTGGACTTACAGCTCCTGTCTTTAGACCTGGGGGTCTTCTATTAGCACCAACAGGGAATCCCGGCTTAGCTCCATCCTGAGCCAACCTTGGCTTTAGCAAGGAAGAAAAGAGCTCCTCCCTACCTCCCCACTCCCTGTGGCTGGCAACATCGTCCCTTCTTCTTTTAGTCATTCAACCTTTATTGACATCCAGCTATGTGCCTGACACTGTGTTTGGTACTAGGCAATCCACAAATGGGTAAGCTGTGCCCCTGCCCTGAGGAACTTAGAGGCATGCATGTGTGTGTGAGTGTGCATGTGTATGCACGTGTTCACGTGCATGCGTGTGCAGGTGTGTGTGTCCCTGCCTGCAGGGTGGGCTGCAGGGAGAGACGCGGAAACAAGGCAATATAACCTAACATAACAAGGGTCTATAGTGAGTCCTTCTGCTGTCCCCAGGTGTGGAGCGAAGCCCTGAGGAGCTGGAGCAGGGCCAGGTTGACATTTATGGCCCTCACACTCCCTATGCCACCAAGGAGCTGACATATACAGAGGCCGCCTTCGACAAGATGGTGAAGCTCTGTGAGTACAACATCCTGAATAACGATGACAAGCTCCTTCAGGCCCTGAGACTGGCGGTGGAGAAAAAGAAACGCCTGAAGAGCCGGTGTCCCTCCTACGCCCCAGGGAGCTTCACTGATCCTGTGTCTGCTTCTGCATTAGAGGCCGGAAATTATCAGGGCTGACCAGGCTATACAGCCAGCTCTGCTCTCTGACAAAAGATGCAGGCAGGCTGGCCTGGGCAATCTATCAAAAAATAAATTAAAACAATCTTGAGAGAGAGAGAGAGAGAGACAAAGGAAAATAACAAGGGGCCATATTGGGGTTTTATACCCACTGGAATTTCTTCCCTGCAAAGAAGGAGGTCTGATACCACAGGTTCCCGCACATGCCTAAGGTGTAGAGAATAAAAGCGTGGGAAAGAAACTGGGTCCCCACGACTGGAGACTGCTCCACCTTCCCCCTCTCTGCCTCATGCAGTGGCAAGCCTAGGGGAATGCCCAGGGAGGACCTGAGAAGTCCTCTGGGTTTCTCCTGGGGGAAAAAAATGCTTTATTAAATTTAAAGCAATTGTATTATGATTTTTATAAGCAATTATATTTTGTGATTTTTACTTTTATGAATCAGGGTATTCATAGGAAACATGATGCTGGAAGATCTAAATAGAGCCCTAGAGACATCCTGGTCTCTGCCACAACAAAGTGAAACAGGTTTCAGCGGTGCCTCTCCAGGCATTCAGAGCCCCAGGGCTGGTAATCCACATGATCCCCACCAGGCAGCCACATCTACTGAAACACCATGCAAAGCCCAAGTCTGCAGCTCAGATTTACTGAATGAGGATTTGGGATGCAGTTCAGCGAGGTCTGGCAGGCTGCGGGTAAATGAAGTCAGGTGTCGGTTAGGGCGATGCTGTCCAGGGCCACCCCCTCCAAGAGCCAGCGCTCATTGACCAATCTGCTCCACCAGTACCCTGAGCTGTCTTACCACCCTATCTCACTGGTTTCCAGATGAGATTACTTACTTCTAAATGTGATTACTCTTATTTGTCATGTAAACACTGTGGCCAGTACATCCCTCCTCTTGGAGAGTCACCTAGACAGAATAAAACTAGGAAAGATTAGCTGGGAAAGGTTAGCCCTTTGAGAAAGAAGAAAGAAGCTCATCCTCGGAGATGGTTTCCTAGTGAGTCTCTGGGAAAGCCCTGGGACACAGAGAAGTGCAACCAAAGTAAGCAGGTCTCCCTTCAGACTGGGGAACTTAGCTAAAGAAAAATGTGACCTGAGCCATCGAGATGCCCAGGCTGATGGAAGGTGAAACCAGAAAGGCAGAAAGGCCTGTGGTCTGTGTGAAGCCCAGTAAAGCGCAAGGCACAGCCCTTCTTCTGGAACCCCGTGCTGCCTAAGCAGTCCTTTGGTTGTGAGGATGGCAGTAGTGACCGGTACCAAAAGTTTAGAAAAATTGGCCTCTGATTTACATCCTCACTACTCAAAGTGTGGTGGGGAGCTAGTTAGAAATGCAGACTCTCAGGCCCCGACCAGCCATACCGCATCAGAATCTGCATTTTAAGAAGATTCCCACCCCTACCCCCCAGGTGATTCCCATGCATATTAAAGTTTGAGAGGCCTAGATTTATGCCACTCTCTCCCATAAGCTTGGAAAGCATGAATCAATGCTCCCTTGAGCCACTGATAAACTGGGCTTCTGGACCGGCAGAACTGGTCCTGTCCGCATAATGCTAACCTGGAACACCACCCCTCCCCTCCACCGGAGCAACCGGCTGCCTCCACTTTGATGGCTCTTCTTCCCACTGCAACAAACAGGCTCTCCTTCAATTATCAAACAGTGAGCCACGCGGCAGGACCTGTTTGTTCTAAGGTGAAGAGAGCAATTCCTTGGAGTCATCAAAGTATGTAAAATGAGGTTTATAAAATCATTGTATTATTTGAGCATGGAATAAAATGGCCATGTGGGTAAGTGCTGTCATGTCATCTGCTTTTATTACCCAATGCTGCAAAACATGCATAACTCCTGACCTTGTCCCTGCGTGGGCTTCAAGCATCCTCCTCACCACTGCAAGAGGTGTGAGTAGGCCCTTTCCATCCAGTCCCTCATCTCCTCATGCAGTTCCCTTCCTGCTGCAGGGGTCCGCACCTTGTGGTGAAGCCTCCTCTGTCTTCATGAAGACACGTCATCAACTAGTGCAGCACCAGCTCCTATGGATCCAAGCTGTTCCAAGCTCAGACATTTCAGGAAACGTTGAGAAGAAGCAAAGGCAACTGACATCCACAGAGCACCTACTTTGTGCACAGTGCCTTCCAGGGACTTAGATTTGGGAGTAGGTAAAAAAACACGAAAAGATTTTTAAACATACAGTTGGCGTGGGGGATTGGATCCTGGACCCCCCTGTGGATACCAGAATCTGAGGATGCTTAAGTCCCTATCAGTTAGCCCTCTGCACCAAAGGTTCTGAATCTGTGATTGCAGAACCCGCAGATCCAGAGGGCCAACTATTCATGAGAAGTTAAGCAGTGAGTTAGCTACTGAAATGATAAAAAGTGTCACCAACTCTGACAGGGGCAAGCACAAGCTGTCCCCTCCCTCTCAGGTTCCCTGCTCTCTGCCTATAATCATGATTAAACAGAAAAGATAAGTAAAATCCCTCCCTCTCCCAGCATCCCTCTCTCCTCATCTGTCCCTTTTCCTTCCCAAGAGAGTAGCCAGTACCCCACCCACTGCCACAAGGCCCAGTCACATTTTCTGCCCCTACTTCCCCATGAAAACACTTTTCTCCAAGGTCACCAATGTCCTAACTGCCAGATGCACTGAGCCAAAAGCCGCCAGCCCTTTACAGGCCTTATCTTACTTGATTGTTCTCAGCATTTCGGACGCAAACCACTCCCTCTTTCCTCAGACGCTCCCTTCCTGTGACTTCCTTACCAACTGCAGTTCAATTCAGCTCAGCCTGCAAATGTTTATTGCCTGCCCACTACGTGCCAGTCACTGTTGTAGGCACTGAGACAATAAAAAGGATTAACAACCGCCCTCAAACTTCAAGAAACTTCCTTCTGGTTCCATGTGGGAACTTCCTTCTGCTCCCATGGAAACTGAGCCTCGCGACATGAAGAGGAAATTCCTTGTTAGCTGTGTTCACAAGGGCCGCACAGGAGGGGCTTCCAACCCAACCACAGGGGGAAGGAGCCAGGTTCACTGGACACCTTCTCGACATGAAGAGGAAATTCCTTGTTAGCTGTGTTCACAAGGGCTGCACAGGAGGGGCTTCCAACCCAACCACAGGGGGAAGGAGCCAGGTTCACTGGACACCTTCTGTCCGAGATTTCTCCCCACTGAAAGGTCAGAGCCCCTCCGCTGGCCTTTCCTCCCCTGCTGTTCTTTAATTGCTGGTATTCCTCAAGGTGCTCTCCTAGCTCTCCCCTCTTCTCACTCTTTACCCTTCCTAAGCAATCTCATCTACACCCAGAACTTCAACTGCTGCTTCTATTTTGAAAACTCTCAACCCTTTAGCTCTAGCTACGCTGCTGTCCTGAGTTCTAAACTCATGTATTTGAATTCTGTACCAGTTACCATTACTTTTGCTACATAACCTAAGGATTTAAAATTACAGTGGCTTAAATAAAATTAAAGAAGATTCTCTATTTCTTATCAGAGACCCAGGCTCCTTTCCTCTCTCTCTTCTACCAGCCTCAAGATTGCCTTCTGGGGATAGCCAGTTAACTCTCTTGGTTAGAGTGTGGTGCTGATGACACCAAGGTCAAGAGTTCAGATCCCCTTACCAGCCAGCAAAAATAAAAAGATTGCCTTCTGGTCCAATATTGCTGCTGGAGCTCCACTCCTCATGTCCACATTCCGGGCAGCGGGGAAGATAAAGGAGTGGGTTCTGGCTATGAAATTACCAAACTAACTCTAGACTGCCTATTTCTGGACTTCTTTTCTGGGAAAGAAAACTAAACTTTTATCTTAACAAAATAATAAGAATCACCTAGCAGTTCCAGCTAACTATTGCTGAGCAATAAAACCCCTCAAAGTATAATGACATAAAATAGCCACCATGTTATTATGCNTTGCTGAGCAATAAAACCCCTCAAAGTATAATGACATAAAATAGCCACCATGTTATTATGCCCAAGAATCTGTGGGTCAGGAATTTGGAAAGGGCACAGCAAGGACAACTCTTCTCTGCTCCATGTTTACATTACTTTTGCTACATAACCTAAGGATTTAAAATTACAGTGGCTTAAATAAAATTAAAGAAGATTCTCTATTTCTTATCAGAGACCCAGGCTCCTTTCCTCTCTCTCTTCTACCAGCCTCAAGATTGCCTTCTGGGGATAGCCAGTTAACTCTCTTGGTTAGAGTGTGGTGCTGATGACACCAAGGTCAAGAGTTCAGATCCCCTTACCAGCCAGCAAAAATAAAAAGATTGCCTTCTGGTCCAATATTGCTGCTGGAGCTCCACTCCTCATGTCCACATTCCGGGCAGCGGGGAAGATAAAGGAGTGGGTTCTGGCTATGAAATTACCAAACTAACTCTAGACTGCCTATTTCTGGACTTCTTTTCTGGGAAAGAAAACTAAACTTTTATCTTAACAAAATAATAAGAATCACCTAGCAGTTCCAGCTAACTATTGCTGAGCAATAAAACCCCTCAAAGTATAATGACATAAAATAGCCACCATGTTATTATGCTCAAGAATCTGTGGGTCAGGAATTTGGAAAGGGCACAGCAAGGACAACTCTTCTCTGCTCCATGTTTAGGGCCCTGGCTCAAATGACCTGAGCTGCTGGGGAGGACTCAAATAGCTGGGGTCTGGGACAGCTGGGGCTAAAGGATCCACTTCCAAGATGACTCCTTCACTCACGTATCTGGGGCCTGGCTGGTAAATCTGGGAAGGATGAAGGACAGGCTTGGCTGGGACTGTCAATCGTAACACCTTCATGTGGCCTCCCCAACATGGTGGACTTGGGTTAGTCAGTCTTCTTAAATGGCACTCAGGGTTCCGAGAGTATCTACACAGTGGCAGCAGCATGAACCATCATGACTCACCCTCAGAAGTCACAGAGCTCCACTTCAGTAATCTGTTGGTGGAAGTGGTCACGAGCCAGCCCAGATTCAAGAGGAGGGGTCAAAGAGCCCACCTCTGGATGGGAGGCGTGTCAACAAACATGC